ATGGAGTCACATTTGCCTGATTGCTGTATTATTAATGAATGCCCATCATTTGCGATTTTACTTGAGCGTCTTAAGTGGTCAATAATGCTCAGTTTATGCAGGAAAAACACTTTTATTTCTTGTACTTGTTTATTAACAGGATATATATCTACAACAGAGAATATATATATATTATTTTGAAGGAGGTCAAGAGAAACCAAAGGACCCTGTTTGAATGAATTTTGGGTGTTGGATTTTTTTTTTAATCGTCTGTCAAATTGTAATTATGGTCACTTATTAAGGAACATCACACCTTTCCTAAACAAGCCGCATGATTTGAGACAATATTCAACATAGAACACAAGAACCACAACTAATAAAACTAATTGTTATTTTGAGTTTTTAGAAAATGGCATTACTTGATACAGGACAACTGTAGCAAGAAAATACAGAGGTAAATAACAATAATAAAAAAACAAGCTACTATGAGTCAATATAATTAAAATGGACAAGGAAAAAATGCCTCATGACGGAAAATAATTTTAGCGTGTTAGTACTCAAAACCAGAATATTAATCTGGAAATTTTACTGGTTTAAAAATACCCAGACATGAATTACAAGAGCATATATGCATGCCCACTACCAAGAGAAATTGAAGAGGGAATTTTAAAGAACATACATAAAAATAGCAAGAAATAATTGAAAAAGTAATAATAATTGCATGTGGCACTTTAAGGGTCAAACTGTGCTTGGAATATCTATATGGAAAGTGCATATTTACAATATAATTGCTCTTCATATGCTGAGAGAAATTGAAGCAAGATTTCAATTTGTATCCGCTGTAGACACATGGTCATCTCTATCTACTGTGGATCTTCTCCAACCTTCTGGATATATAAACTAAAGCCTATTTAGCCTAAAGGACAAGGCTATATCCATTAAGCATAACTGAAATATCTTTAGACTTCAATTTAAAATAGTACGGTAAATGTTTAGTCATGCTTGGAAGGTCAGGAAGAAGTAGCATTATGTCTAAGTAAGGTATAAGTTATGATAATGTTTTTCTAAATTCACTTTAGCAAAGTCTTCAAAGCATTTTAGCCAAAAGGCAAATTCACATTTTGATGCAATCTCTGAAAGTCTTGACTGCTGACATCAAAAATATTTAATATTGAGAACTCTGAGGTTTGCGCTGAAGAAGCAAAAGGTTTAAAGAGGTTTAAAACTAAAACTGCGCTCCTGCTTCACATCACAAAACTCGGAGGTAAGCACAGGTCTCATGTCTTTTTCTTACAAGGTGAAATATTTATTCACCTTCTATTCAGTGTTTTATTCATGACACGGTCGAAACAACAGAACACAAGAAATCTAAGACAGATTACGAGAGCTTCATTCAAACACAAACTGACCTGTCCTCCCACACACTGACAGCCTGCACACTCCCGCAATAACACTTGTACAAATAGATGATCCAAAGCAACAGCCTTACTACTGCCATTATGATCACCAATATTTGATAAAGCGCTTATTACATACTAACATGTTCTGTCGAGGTCTGTAAATTTTATAACACGATCTGCTTGTAAAATATAAATGCAATCAATCCAAATGTATAATTAAATATTGGACTATGCTTCTACCTGTCACAGGTATTCAGTATTTTTATGTTCCGCTGATTTTAGGATTATTATGTTTAAGGTATTTATGGAGTTTTAGTTTGCATTCTTTCTCTTTTTCTCTGTTTTTTTTTTTTTTCAGGTTAATCTGTTTCCTTGGTTACTCGTGATTTATACCTGTTCCTCATTTAGTCTGTGTATTTCTATCCATCAGTTCATGTTTCATAGTCCTCCTGTATTACTTATTTTGGTTTTGTTTAATAAGGTACCGTTTGCACAACTTAACTCTCCTCCTTTGCAACCCCACTGTGATACTAATGATCTATCAAATCAATAGATTATTGAGTGGCTGGTTCATAAACCTCAATAAACTTAAAACAAATTGTTGTATATATTCAAAAATCTGGGCTCAGATTAATACTTTTATTCCGCAAGGACACATTAAATTGATCAAGTGTGACTAAAGAGATTTATAATGTTACAAAAGACTTATATTTCAAATAAATGCTGTTCTTTTCTTTGATTAACTTTCAAGCAATCAAAGAATCCTGAAAAAAAATGTCACAGTTGTCACAAAAATATTTCAGCAGTAATGTAGTCAACATTGATAGGAAGAAATGTTTCTTGAGCAGCAAATCAGCATATTAGAATGATTTCTGAAGGAACACGTGACACTGAAGACTGGAGTAATGATGCTGAAAATGCAGCTTTGATCACAGGAAAACATTACATTAGTGTTTCTCATCAAAACATTAAAACATCTTACCGACTCGTAATAGCTTGGTCCATTGACCATTGGTTTCGACCTGCGAGACATGAGAAACAACATAAGTAGTAGTAGTAGTCAGAATAAACAAACCAGCAATTGCTCTCTGCACGCTTCAGTTTCAATTCATGCTGGCTTTGATATACAGTTCTAAGGAGAAGGACGTCTACAAATGTTAAAGATGGGTACATGCATTGGTTTTTCAGATTCTTCAAAATGAACAAAACATTTTATATATTACCCATTTTCTACTGGATAAATGACTTTCAAACAAACTGAACTGAACTTGTGAATTTTTGTGTGGAGTATTTGGATCTGTTTTTGTGCATTGAAATTGATTGTTTTTACGATGGCTGTACATTGCTAAAACTACATGGGATATATAGATTGTGTTTATAAAAAGAAATAATTGGCGCCTCTTATTCTGCTTTAACAACATAAGCAGAGTAATTCAACCTGCAATCTTCTAACATTTTTGGCAAGTCTACCAGGAGAAAAAAAAAACACAACCTACCATTGTTCAAAGAAAAATGAGGTCTACTTGTGCTCTTTTTAGGGTGAACTGACCATTAGTGCCATTATATTCTTTCTCTTTCAACATCTCTAACTTTGCAGTCAGAATTGCAGAGTGGTCTGACTTCTAATGCATTTTGGGGTAAAACTAAGGAGTGTTGTGTTCTTGGAAACAAGAAGATAGTATGTCTGAATAATCAGATGGATTCATGCAGACACATGCCATTTCTGACAACTGTTGGTGTTGAGCTCTATAAAAGAAAAGATAATGAATATATCTTATTTTATCTCTTCCATTCATTATCTATCTCTTCTTCAGACACACTTCTCCTTAATATACTCTTCTCTTGTACCTTCCATCATCCGTGAGAGGGATTGAGAGTTCATATTTCCGAGTAAACAATTTCAATATAAAATAAATGAAGCAAAAAATCCATTTGTCACTAGAGAACCATCAGCCTAAAAACAGATCTGAAAGAGCTTTTTCTGATTTGACACCAAATTGGTGTAGTAACCTAATGTAATCAAGTTCTTTTAGTCATATTACAAATATTTTTGATGAATAAAACCTGCCTGACCAAACATTACAGTGTAGGCAAAATGTTCAACCTGGATTTCCAATATTTGCTATTTATAAACAGATAGTGTCAAACATTTGGCTACAAATGATTTCTGAACAGCTGCAGGACAAAATGTCAACTGTATCTTCTCATCAGCAGTAAAAACTAAAATCAAACAGGTTGTGCACAAGCCACTTTAATAAGTAACTGTCCACGACCCTCGCGCTGCTGCTGCTGGGGTTGTTTCAGTTGTGTTAGGCAATCTTAGCAAGAAATAACATTTGCATATGATATTAACACATGATTAAATAAAGAGACATCATTGTCGCTGATAAAGGCACTCGAGGTATGAAGTGCTGTTCGGTCTGTAAAGACTCTGTGCGTTGAGACAAAAGTCCTTTCTCATGGAAATCAGTCATGTCTCCACTTCCTCCGTGGGTCATCCACCTCCGAGTGTCCTCTCCCTGCTTTTCATTACAAACACGAATTTAACCCTGCACATCTGACTACACTGCCTCCAGAGATGCAATGATTTAAAAATGGCACGCAAGCTTTGTGGGCTTATTATTACTTTTTATATTGTGGGATTATTATTACTTATTATATTAAGTGAATTTAACTACTAACCATTAAGATTTAAATTAATAATTTGATACAATGCACTTCTTCTGTAGCCTACATGTTTTTACATTGTACTTATATTTAAAAAAAAAATACCTGCATGTAATTATAGCGTGTGATTGATTTCTGTATTTATAATCACATTTTTGACCCTTTTCTTACACCATAACCCACCCATAACCCTAATCAACCTGTCGCTAACTTTACTCATATCCCATCTTGATAGCAGATAATTAACCTGAACACAATAAGTAGCCTATAATTTTTTTTTGGACACAAGTAGCCTACATAATAAAGACACTTATAAAGTGTGACCAGCCTCTTAAAAAAAGGTCCGTATTAAAACCAAAAGGGTTTTATAGCCTGATGCCACAGTAGAACATGTTTAAAGTTCAACGTTTTAGATTCCCCTTTAGGGTTTTGCTCATCTGAAGAACTTAAAATGTAACATCCAGAAACTCAAAAGCCATGAACAGACCACAAAAAGTGGTTATTTAAAAGAAAGAGCGAGGATGCTTTTAACAAGAGCTTCATTCTTCGAGAACGTAATGCTTGAAAACAAGTGATGTTGTGTTTAGCTGTTAGTTTCGGAGAACCCGAAACATAGGCAATCTCTCGTGGCTCTTGCAATTCCTTCAAGAATTCAGTTGTGATTCGCACCCAGAATTCAAAATATTTTGTTAGTTTATATAACACACGGAGGAAAACACAAAGGTTTCGGCTTCTACAGTGTTTGATTCCTCTCATATGTGCTTTTTTTTCTATTTCCAAGACCCTTCTGAAGTTGCTCACCTCCTTTGACGCAAAAGAATCGTGTTAAACGAGCCATCTGCATTCATGTTTGCACAATCGAAGACGGAACTTCGTAAAACATGCGTCGAATGAGTCAATCATAACGTCACCTGTCTGCAGTCTACATACTGATCAGCACACGTCCATAAAGTCACGGATTGTCCGAACCAGGACTATTTCAACTTTAGATACTTCCTCTAGCAATGTGAGCGAAATATTAAAGAGGAGTGCTCTTCGTCATTGTGCGTTTTAAAGCAATCTGACTAATACATTTATTTGTTTTATCGATTTTAAGCGTCGGAAGGAACCTGTCACCTCCCTGTTGCATTGCTATAAAACCGAACGTGCGAGTCAGTACGGTCACGGAGACGCGCATCGGACGCGCGCACTGAAGAACTGTGTTATACGTGGAGGAAACTGTTCACGCACAGCTGAAAGAACATTGAACAACATACTCGAACAATACGACTTTGAATCGACGTTTACCTTGCGTTTTTATCCTACTTTAAAGTGCTTTGGGAAAGGAAAAGGAAAGTTACTGGGTGAAACATGAAATTTCTCTTACCGGCTGTAGTCCTTTTTCTTGTTTTGTGCCAAGTTTTTGGAGAAGAATTGGGTCCAAAAGAAGACCTTGATTATTGGACAGGCAACAATCAGGTACAGGTGAGTTTTTCATCTTTGACTGTTGTCTAAACATGTCTTTTAGACTAAATAAAAGCTACTGTAACTATTTGACATTTTTAGGGCTGGTTTTATTAGCCAAAACAACAACAACAACATAAAACATTCTTATCAAGAAAATCTTATCTGTAAAGGTAATTTTATTTAATTATGCTACTTTTCATTATTAAAGCTCAGCTTCATAGAGTGATTATAACAGAAAATATCACAATTGACAATTCAGTGAGCAAATTACGTTGTAATTACTATTACATTATATAATTCTTTTTTGGTTATAATTTTACATTGTTATTATCGATTGGGTAGGATGTAGCCACATATTCAGGATTGAGGAGGACCAAAAGCAATCATTTAGAAATTAACCATTAAATACATATAACATGGCACATGTAATAAAAATGTTATCAGCTGTATTCATTCGATTTCACTGGGTAGTTAGGATTCAAGTACAATATGCACAGGTCGCTGTCCAGTGCTGAATTACTCAATGCTCATATTGCTTGTTTGAATGGAGCACACGTTTCCCATTTGACATTGCGGGTTGGAAGAGAGCCAAGCACTTATGTCTCTCATGCTTTTTGTGTCTAAAAACTGCATCTATGCAACTGCTGTAGTAAAGTATTTTTGTGCTCAAAAACTGGTGAAACAATTATGAAATTTGGTGAATTCTGTATTAGGGAGTTATAAAATACTAATTGTATTAACATCTGCAAGGGTTCCAGTGATCTTATAATGTGAGTGGCATCTGTATGCTGGAGGTCTAATGTTCCACTAATCAAATCATCTCTTGCAGGATGAGTGGATTCAGGCGGATCCCTTCAGAGAGATACTAAGACGTATGACGAGGAAACCCCGACCTCATCAGTTCATTGGTCTGATGGGGAAACGGTCCTCTGGTAAGACCACAGTCCTATATCTCATGCGTATCATAAAAAAAGCAGATGTTGATAATACGTTTTAACTAAAATGCAGCAAATGAAAAAAAAAAAAAAAAAAAAAAAATGCTTTTGACCTATAACTGACATCTCTTTCATTCTTCCACCCCCACAGCAAATGCACAGATTACACGAAAAAGTAAGTGATCTCAAAAACACGTCTGCATACAATGCATAATATTATTTGCTAAATGCTTACATTTGCCTAAAAGCAAAGACACTTAAGGGCTTAATTTACATATGCAATCATATAACAAAATTTTCAGTGTTTCTTTTTCCTCACATGAAGAAAATAGGTTTTTAGAACTCTAGAAGAGAGAAATCTTTACAAATCCTTGAACTTTGCATATTTTACAGTCCCATTCACAGCTTATTAAATGGAATCTTAAGAGTTTTAGCGACACATTCCTTTTAATGGAAGCTCACATCCTCAAGGTCTTTTTCACAGTAGAATAAAAACAATTGTAACATCCTTCAACCGCACTCTAGGCTTCAACAATATAGTAGAACTGTACATATGTATGCGTGTATGTATATGTATATATATATATAAACCTTAATTGTCTTCCAGGGCATAAAATCAATTCTTTTGTGGGGCTGATGGGTAAAAGAAGCCAAGAAGAGCCAGGTAGGAACTGCAAAACCTCTCAATTAGTTTTAGGATAGCTGCTTCATCAATGATAGAAATAGTGATAATACTAATAAAAACGAGTTATTTGTAACCCCAACCTTCTCTTTTCACAGAATATGAATGGGGAACAGTACAGATCTACGACAAAAGACGTTAATGGCTAAAATGGATCATCGTCACATCCGCTTCCTTACGGATCATTTCATTATGTGATACTCATTTTTTTTCTTTCTTTTTTTTATTCAGGTCAGAAATAAACATTCTTATTTCACATTGTGAAATATGGCCACACCTGTGCCAGTTTATTTATGTCAGACATTTCAAAACGGTTCAGCTGTGATCAAACGTGTTTGTCACAACATCTTTCCCGATGTTGTGGAGCATTAAAGCAAAGCGTTGTCCATTCTAAGGTACTCAGAGATTTGTGCTGAAAATGTCAATTTTAGTGCCTCATAGTGTTTTCACTTTTCACCATGACTGATGATGTTATAATACAGACAGTCCGGGTGTGATGTCATCCTGCGCATGTCTTGTCACTGCTATAAGCAAAGGTTTTGCTATCTTGATATCTCTGTGTGATTGTAGCTTGATATTAAAAATATTTTCTTTATTGGTGGAACTTTTAATTCCTTGTATCGTTGAATGTGTGGCGTATCACGGTCTAAAGGTGCTTTCACAATGGCACACTCACTCCACCTACAGGCTATTATATTTTAACCATCAAGTATACTTTTAAACCCGGCTTATTGAACTGTATTAATGTAACACAACTCGACTGGTATTTTGAAGAAACCCTTTATCAGTATCATGACCAGCAATCACTCCAGCATCTAGCACATTAAACTCTCCAAATGAATTGAAAGTGAAACTGTTTAATATAGAAAGTTAAAGTTTCTTTAAACATTCAAGCCGTTTCTTTTCTCTAATTGAAAATCCACTTTCCACTTACACTTTCTTACAGTAATGGTGCACCAAAGAAAATACAAATACCACATTGAATTTATAAAAATAAAAATAAATATAATTTCTTAACCCTTAATATTAGTTTCACATCTCAATATTAAGCCAGGAGTTAAGGATAAACAGTGAACCCTACTTAAACCAATGCCATTCATTCAACTCAGACTTACAATAACAGTCAAACTGTTTTTTTTTTTTTTTTTTTTGGTGTGTGGAATAAATAACTGCTTAAAAGCAGTTTAACTAGCCAACTAATTATTAATTTCAATTAGCTGACTCTACGCACACAAATACACTCACTAAAGGGACGGACCCACTGAAGGAACATGGGATAAGTGCATAGCTCAGTTGCAGTGGTAACAGATATTATCCAGCCCAGATATAACAAAAAAAATAAAAATATTCCTGAACCAAAAAACAAAAACATTACCGTTCAAAAGTTTGTAGACAATACGTTTTTTAATATATATTTAAATAGAAAGTAGTTATTTTAAATTGATATATAATATTACTATTTTACATTATAACTGTTTTTACTGCATCTTTGATCAATACATTGCCTTAGTGAGCATAAGAGACTTTTTTTTTAAAACATTTTAAACCTAACCCACCTCAAACTCTTGAACGGTATTATATCACTACTTACTAATGTAAATTAAATGAATATGGAATCTCCTTTAAACAGTATATTTGTGTACTTTGTCTTGAACTTTGTCTCTATCTATCTAGTATCTATTTATCATAAAAGGTGTGAAAAAACAAACATGAGTCTAATGGAGTATGCAAGAAAACTTGAAGGCCTGAAAAGTTGACAGGGCCTCCATTTTTATCTTTTGAGCTATTGCATGAGCTGAAGAAATCACACTAACCTGTGAAAAACGTCTCGGTTACGGATGTAACCCTCGTTCCCTGAGTAGGGAACGGAGACGTTACGTCGGATGACGGAGAATGGGGGTTTCACCAGAAAGCCTATCATCTTCGAGTATTAAAAAACGAGCCTATGGCAATGAAATGCCATGGGTCTGCGGAATTTGCATAATGTATCTCCGCCCCACCGCGTAGGTATTTAAGGAGAGACACCTGCAACAGCAGATCATGTCTTCGCTGAGGAGCCGAGACTGAACTCAGGCGTCTACCCAGCGGTACAGCGGAAGTGGCAGGGAGACGTAACGTCTCCGTTCCCTACTCAGGGAACGAGGGTTACATCCGTAACCGAGACGTTCCCTTTCGTAGTCACTCCGAGTTAGGTCGGATGGCGGAGAATGGGGGTCCCCGTGTAATCACGCCACCTTCACAGCTGTCTTCCAGTGCCCTGCGAAGTCTGACCCCCCTGTCGTGATATAGGCACGGACGAAGGAGTCCTACTTAACACAGGAATACCAAGGTACACTGGGAAGCATATCTCAGGGGAGATATGCCGCAGCATGCCTACCCATAGGGAGGACCTAAGAATACACATATGGCCGAGGGGGCTTCATATGGAGGAACACTGAAGTGACCAGCCCGTGGGGTGGCAACTTTCAACTCCAGGAGTGGCAAGGTGGCTTGCCGAGGGAAAGACACATGCTCAAAGAGGCTTACAGTGGAAATACACATGTGGGGGTTACTCAGAGGAGGAACCATGCACACGGAGGCACCTAGCCGACGCACAGGCAATAGACACTGGCGCCAGCGTCAAGAGTGCTGGAGGAACTCAGGGCTTCAGAGAGGAAGGCTACCTGAGGAAATATCGCACGTATCCAGTCCGTGGATTGGAATGGCGAGCAAGCGAGACACCTAACGGCTCCCATGTTAGCTTGAAAAAGACAGTACATGGGCGGAGACTGGCTCCACTCGGAGATTGTAAAATCTGGCGAATGTGTTGGGTGTCGCCCAGCCTGCAGCTCTGCAGATGTCTGTTAGCGAGGCGCCACGCGCTAAAGCCCAAGAGGACGCCACACTCCGGGTGGAGTGGGCGGTCACACCAAGGGGGCACGGTCGACCTTGCTGCTGGTATGCCAAAGCAATGGCGTCCACTATCCAGTGGGATAACCTTTGCTTGGAGAGAGCCTTTCCCTTCAGCTTCCCACCATAACAGACAAAGAGCTGGTCTGAGGTCCTGAAACACTGCGTCCTGTCTACGTAAGCACGGAGGGCGCGTACTGGACAGAGCAGTGCCAAGGCTGGGTCTGCCTCCTCCAGGGGCAGCGCTTGCAGGTTCACCACCTGGTCCCGGAAGGGAGTGGTGGGAACCTTGGGCACATATCCAGGCCGGGGTCTCAGGATCACGTGAGAGCAGGCCGGCCCGAATTCCAAGCACGCTTCGTCAACGGAGAGTGCGTGCAGATCCCCCACCCTCTTGATGGAGGCCAGTGCAACCAGGAGCGCTGTCTTCATTGACAGGAACTTAATCTCCACTGATTGTAGAGGCTCAAAGGGAGCCCTCTGCAGGGCATATAAGATCACTGAGAGGTCCCAAGAGGGTACGAGAGGAGGGCGAGGAGGATTCAGTCTCCTCGCTCCTCTCAGGAACCTGATGATCAGGTTGTGCTTTCCCAGAGACTTACCTTCAACTGCATCATGATAAGCGGCGATAGCGGCCACATACACCTTCAGGGTGGAGGGAGACAGCCTTCGCTCCAGCCCGTCTTGCAGAAAGGAAAGCACGACACCGATTGAGCATCTCCTGGGGTCTTCTCGCCGAGAAGAGCACCCGTTGACGAAGAGGCTCCACTTCAACGCGTAGACGTGTCTCGTGGACAAGGCTCTAGCGGAAGTGATGAAAGTGACCGCAGGTTGCAGGGTACTCAAACCTGCCTCGTCCCGTCCAGGAGCCACACGTGGAGTCTCCAAAGATCGGGACGAGGGTGCCATAGGGTGCCCAATCCTGTGGCCGCGCGCATTCGAAAATGCGTTTGGTCGTGAGCATCCTGAACGGCAGCCTGTGAAGCGAGCGGCTCAAGACGCGCAGATCCAGGATTAGCCGTAACCCACCGGTCTTCTTGGGGACAATGAAGTAAGGGCTGTAAAACCCTTACCTCATTTCGGCTGGAGGGACAGTCTCGATTGCACCCTTCGCCAGCAGGGTGGCAACCTCCGCTCTCATGATCGGGGCACTGCCACCGACCAAAGTAAACAGACTCCCCTGAAGCGGGGAGGAGACCGTGCGAATTGGATCGCATAGCCGAGCCTGATAGTTCGGGCGACCCAGCGGGACAGGTAGGGAAGCTCTAACCAAGCTCCCAAGAACTGAACCAGCGGAAACATCCGAACGACAGACGTCCCCCTGGAGGGGCAGCGAAGCGGAGTGACCGGCCCAGGCGTGGGTGGCATAGCGGCCCGGTGCGGGGGCACGGTCATGCTCCGCGTCCTGACAGAGGAGACCAGGGAAGGACCAGCGTTCCACGGGGGTCTGCTCTGCCAGGGGTCTGGCGACAGAGGGGGACGAGAGTGGTGTGGTCCGGAGACGGCACACACTGTCATCCGCGCCCTCAGAGATAGAGGGGGACGAGAGCGGCAAGGCCTGGGAGCGTCGCGCACTGTCGTCCGGCCCACTGAGGGCTCAGAGATGGGATGCAGCTCTTTGGTTTAGAAAGATTCTCCCCCAGGCCTCCACCAGGGGAAGGAGTGGCCCTGCAACCACTCCCTGAAGAACTGCAACCCACATCTGAGCTGCCCGTAACGGGAGCGCCGCAAGCCTGGCCTTGGCGGGGCTGCGGGACCGGTACGGGCAGGGGCGCCTTCCTGCGACCACCTCCACGGCGCAGCCCGGTGCTGCTGGGGGCCGGGCGGGAGGGGGCTGAAGTCACAGGAGGGCGCATTCGGCAGCAAGCGGACTGAGGCGTCTGAGCCGGCAGCTGGAGGCAGCAAAGCCGAGGGGTCAGACAAAATAGCCACAGTCCACTTCTGGGCGGCCGAGAACTGTTGGGCAGAGTCCTCGACCGCGCCGCCGAAGAGGCCAGCCTGGGATATGGGGGAGTTGAGGAAACGAAATCACTCAGCCTCGCGCACATCAACCAGGTTAGCCAGAGGTGTCTGACCACCTATGTGGACATCACCTGACTCAGGGAGCGTGCGGTCACCTACGTCGCTCGGAGAGCAAGGCCGGTGACGGCAGGCAGCTCAAGGATGAGCCCTGAATCAGCCCTACCCTCGTGCATGTCATTGAACACCCAGGAGGATGGCAATAACACGCAGTGAGGTGGCAGCCTGCCCCGCAGCTCTATAGGGCCCCGCCACCGGAGTAGACAAGAACCTACAGGCATTGGAGGGGTGATTAAGAGTCGCCACGCTAGGTGGAGGCGCTGTGGGGACACATAAGTGTTGCCACAGAACACTCCACAGGGGGAACCCCAGTGCACCCTAGGCCGCGGCCTCTACAAGGGCAGAGAAGGCGGAAGAGGCCACTGAGCAGTCGCGAAAAGTCAAGGAGACTTTCACGATCTCATGATCTCTTCATGCACGTCCGGGTAGAAAGGATTTGGGTTCGCCACCCCCAAAAACCAATCAACAGCCTTAAGTGCTCGGGACATGGCAGAAGGTTCCACACAAGCCCGATACTCGCGGCAGCCCGGGAAGCATAGCTGTGCACTCTGGATCAAACTCGTTATGCTAGCACATCCGAGGACGGCAGCACAGACGAGCCATCATCTCTAGAGGACTCCAGCTCACCTTGTGATGCGGTGATACATGATTTCATCAGCTGGGGGACCGAATGAGACGAACTCACCCGGGACCACGCAGGTTGCAATGTGAAAGACGGGGTGTGGACCGAGGAATTTTTCGTCGGTTTAGTTCCAAACCTGCCGTCTTAGGTCACCCTGGCCACCAGCCGAAGTATTATCTCACGTGGAGAAAAATAGATCGGGGTGTGGATGAGGGGACTCTCACTCATTGAGCTCATCGAGTCTCGACCGTTACATTGCGATGGTCACGTTCCCAGTGAGAGAACGTGACACACCCACGAGCGCTGTCTGAGCGCGATCAAAGCCCAAACACTCAAAACAGCGCTCGCGCCCATCAGCTGAATCTATCAGAATACCACACTCAGAAAAACACGGGCAGATCGTCTTTAGAAAGACGCGTCTTTAAAAAGACGTGCCGCGTGCAGCTCTTTAGTGAGAGGAAAAACTCTGCGGATGTTGAAGCGACCAGGGAGAACACACAGACTGGCAGACCACTGCTCAGCTCGCAGGCAATGTGAAACTCGCTGGATACCGCCGTCACACCAACACCGGAGAGTTCGCTCGTCTCGAAGAGATGTAGTCACTGAGAAAACTCAGAATTTGGCTTGTGGAGTGAAGAGATGCTCTTGGCTCCGAAGCGAAAACATGATCCGCTGTTGCAGGTGTCTCTCCTTAAATACCCACGCGGTGGGGCGGAGATACATTATGCAAATTCCGCATTTCATTGCCATAGGCTCGTTTTTTAATACTCGAAGATGATAGGCTTTCTGGCGAAACCCCCATTCTCCGTCATCCGACGTAACTCGGAGTGACTACGAAAGGGAACTGACTCTTTATGAGACTAAAACCAGCATGAAAACTAATTTTAGTAAACTAAACAGAGAAAGTGGAAGCAATAAAATATATTATGGTAATGTTTAAACCGGCTTCATGTGGGAGGCATGTATGCTATAGTGATTGTATTGTTTAGCCAAGGTCTGAAGTTTGATGCGATTACTGGTATTTATCAGCCTTGTAGATGGACAGGGTTCTAGCCGAGGGGTCGGTGGCCTTGATCCAGTGAGGCATCCAGTAATGTGGCGTCCACTCGCAGCAGCTGGGGAAATTCTTCTCAAAGATCTGCCTTATGAAGAATCCCTCTTTGGTTGTGGGGGTGTTGAAAGGGAACACCTTAGCAGCCTTCTCCAACTGAGAGTCATTCACCTAAAAGGGAAAAGAAAAATTCAAGAAATAGATAAAGAGGAAGAGGCTTTAAAGCGCTGTGCCATGTGCATGTACATGTGAAGTACCTCAGACTCAATGTGTTCCTGCAGACTAGTGTACCAGGGTTTCTTAATGGATGACAAACCATCACCGAAGGGCTCTTTCCTTCTCCAGAGAATCTCATCTGGGATCAGGTTCATCCCTTTAAACGTTTCCCTCAAGAGATGCTTCTCCACACCATCCTGTGCCGATCAAACAAGTTATTCGGTCTGGTTTTAGGGGGCGTATACACATCCTTTTTAACTAAAAACTTTTCATGCATTTTAGCCATTCATTTACATAACAACAATCTTTTGGAGGCCTAAAAAAACCTGTGAAAACGGTGATGTCATGTGCATGCGCATTGCGTGTTCAGTCTATAGGCGCATGATTTTTCTTTATAAAATGACATCGCCAACAACTGGCCTGGCAGCATAATACAGCGTTTTTAGTCGTTTTCACGGATCCGTGTGAACGGGGATGGTTTTGACAACGTTGTCGTCAGTACAAAGGAAAAACCTTTCTGTTTGTAGTACATTGTTTTCGTGTGATTGTACGCTTAGAAACCACAAACATGAATTTTGAAAAATAGAGAGAAAATAAACTGTACATCATGCAAAGCATATCAAAATTTTATTTTAAAGAATAAACAGTTTCGGTTCCTATTGACTTCCATTGCTTTTTTGTCCATACAATGGAAGTCAATTGGAACCGAAACCGTTTAGCTCCCAACATTTTTTCAAAATGTCTTTTATGTTCCACAGAAAAAGTCATTCTGGGGTGCGTTTCCCGAAAGCATCGTTAGCCAACTATGGTCGCAAGTTCCGTCGTTATCAGCATAGTTCAACAAGTCGGTGTTGCCCGAAACCATCGTTCCAACGAACATTCGCAAACAGCATCGCAAAGTTGTGTGGTTGGAACGACAGCTCTCGACCTGTGGTTAGAAGCATAGTTTCTAAATTGCATGACACGTGGACTTAATAAATCCGTATCTTGAGCAAAATAAACAAGCTGACATTCAGTACAACCTGTGTAATTTATTTATAATACATACAAATGTGTTTGACATCTTTGAGTTTGTCAAGATATGTAAAGCACCGTTTTTGAAGACTGCGCATGTGCGAACGTGCTCTACTATGTAAGAACGAGCCTATGATTGAATCTGGAAATAAAGCGAAATAACTGAGAAAAATTTGAAATAACGATTGCCTCAGATGCCATGTCTGTAGTTTATATCAAAACATCTAGCATTAATTCGATCTCACACAGTTTAATTAAAATGAGTTATTACTCCACCACGTCCTTGACGTCATAAACCAATGTGGTTGAACACCACTTTGCGACAATATGGTTTCGGGAAACAGTCGTGACTAGCTAGTTGATTTCTTCAATGATGCATTGTACTATAGTAGTTAAGCAGCGAGTTACGTTGTTGTACGGAAAGCACACCCCAGGTTAATAACAATATGAGGGTGAGTAAATGACAATTTTCAGTTTTGTATGGACTCTTAAGGGTTCGGGGTTTGTCGAACTCCAATAATTTTGCATAGAGACAAGTAGCAGGTACGAACATGTGTAAGGATAAATCATTGAATTGGAAGGTGTCAGATATACCCATCTTAGGCACTCTCATCTCTTCAGGCAGAGATAGGTAGTATGCGGTGAACCTATGGTCCAGGAAAGGCACTCTCAATTCCAGTCTAAGGAAGAAACAAACCGTTTGGATTGACAAATACTATGAAAAATTTTGCTATGAGCAGGGAAGAGAAGGGAAGGGACATTTAATCTTACCCGAATGCAGCTGTGCTTCTGTCCGCATCGTGATTCTCACGTCAAAGATTCAGAATAGATTATGAACATTTGAAAATTATTTCAAAATGTCTCAATGTTCAAGTTATTAAACAAATTAATAATAATAAAAAAGTAGGCTAAGAATCGGACCGTGAGCCGAGGTGCCTTAAGATTCCCACCCCAACTAAAATGTACTAAGAGTACACCCTATGATAGGTTTCTTAAAACACTTAAAGGGATAGTTCACCCAAAAATGAAAATTATGTCATCATTTACAAAAGATATTTTGAAGAATGTTGGTAAACAAACAGTAGATGGGCCCCATTGATGTCTGTGGGGTCACACAACTATTTGCTTACCCATATTCTTTAAAATATCATACTTTGTGTTCAGTAGAAGAAAGGAACTCATACAGGTTTGAAACAACTTGAGGGTGAGTAAATGATGACAGAAATTTAGGTGAACTGAACTATCCCTTAAGAGTATACATTTAAAAAGCACATTGTACTTTAAAGTGTATTTTATCAGGATCAGTTTTTTGTGTCAGTTTTTAGGACTATTTTGTCACTAAGTACTATATTAAGACGCTGAGTAGTATAGCCAAACTAATTTCCCTATTTTGAAAAATTAGAGATACAATTAAAAGCGATACAATTTTAACAAAATATATATACAGTATAAAAAAAACTGACCGTTTTGGCTAAAGTAGAGGTGGGCCAAAATCGTATTTCCTTTTTTAATTTTATTTCATCTTTGTCATTAAAAATAATAACAAAGATGCAAATTACAACATAAGAAACAAATGATATAAACCAATAGAAACTTTTAGTTTATTTTAAACTAAAATAAACGTCAGCTACAGTTGGTGTATTTAACAGTAGCATTTAAGTAAGAAATTGAATAAAAAATAGTTTTTAAATAAAACACTACATAAACTACACTTTATAAATTTAAATATACATCGATTCTTATTGTAAGAGTTAAAAGTGTAGCACATTATCTTTGGATTAAAGCCCCGAGAACACCCACAAGCAAGTATTAGCAAGTTACTGAAGTTCAGTCAAGAGCAGGAACTGATTTTCTGTCTTTTGTAGCTTGATTAATGGTAATGACAAAAGCATTAGAAGGTTTTTAGGCTGAGGTTACTTTAAGACCTCATGCACAGATCTAGTACACAGACACACATCCGATTTCCTTTTCGAACTCTTTACGTTCACTAAAGACATAACTGACTGTGTTTATGTAAACCTTGTATGTATTTGATAGTTAAACCGCAATAAGCCGCAAAACTTAGTTTAGTAGTCTTTTAGTATGCGTGCACTTCGGGTGTACGCCCTCAGAAAAGTGCATGTCAGAACAGCTTGCGAAGAAAATGTTTAAATGCTTTAAAATTGTGATACCACACAAGCCTATGCTACTTTTTCACAAGGGACACTGCGTAATAAAATATCACACTAAATCAAAAGCACAAATGCTGATACCAACAGCCAAATAATGGTGATTCAAGGATACCGTATCGAATGGAATAACTTTCATGCAGTTTTAAATGTGTCCACTTTTAAAAGTATCCAAATACTTTTTAGAGACACTGTAAATACACACAGGTGAGGTTAATCATACAATAACATGTACCCGATGAAAGTAGATGTATCCTTGTGTCAGCTCATCCGAACCGTCACCTGAGAAAATCACAACACTGTCTGTCTTCTCATGGATGTACTTTGATATCAGGTACATGCCTAAAAAACAGAGATCACTGAATGTTCCTGCTGCCATCTAGTGGCTATGAGTTCAGACTATATAGTCACACTGCCAGAACAAGCATGGTTACTATTGTTCATACTTTTGATTTGTTCTAACCCAAAGTATTAAGCTTTTGCATGCAAGTCATCCAGTACGGTTTGTTCTACAAATATAATTGATGCCACAAATCAGGCAGCTTGTTGAACAGGGGTGTGCAATCTATTTCTTGACTAATAAAAAAATAAACACCTAATAATTCAACAAAAGTTGCTTCAAGACTGTTACAGTTACAGAAGTCCGTATTACACAGATGAAGGGGAAAAGCATCATGAGAAAGAGCAATCTTTTGTCCTGCTAACTTTCTAAGCAGTATAATGCTGACGTTCCATTTTTCAAGTTTCAGACCAGCATTATGTCCAATCCTGAGATTTCACGTGATCACATGGTCAAATGAGTAGAGCAGAGGAATGGTAGCTAACCCTCAACCCAACTGGCTGAGGTCTATGGGTGCAATGACAGCAGGATAGTTTTATCATCAATGCTTTGCGAATGTTAAATAGAAATTAAGTTCACCAAAATTTTCACCACAATGTGTTGTGCTAATATGAATATGCAGATATGCACAAGAGAATCAAATTTCACATTCTGTGCTCCATACAAGAAAACGGGGAACTAAAGGAATTGATTGACTTGCTCTTTAAATGCACTCATCAAAAAATGGTCTTATGAATGAGATGAACTCTTGTACTCACCAACGGAGGCATAGTGAAGATGTCATAACTCTCCAAGTGAATGATGACTTTATTATGCGTTACTTAGTTTTCTGTTGTGTTTATCTGACTTGTACAGCACTTTGGTCAGTCCCCAGACTGTTTTTAAATGTGCTTTATAAATAAAATAACTAGAAAAACTAAATGAGCATAGCCTATAGGCTCCTGAGTCTGAGAGGAGGCAACCGATTCTTCTGTGTGTCATCAAGCGTTTCTTTACCGCATTTTCAAACAGGATCCTAATGTTGCTCTTGACGGTCTCCAATTCAAAGCCCGATGAAAAGTAACAAATTAATTTCTCGTTCATTCAGACTCGTGGAAAAGATGTTCCAGAAATATGTTGGCCATTCATCTGGGTAAGATTGCACCAGTAGTTCATAAGCTCTTACTTAAAATAGCACTAAGTCCCTACTAGAGGCTTACTAACTACTAGTTTGTAACTAACTCGATACTTAATTTGCCATGAATTTCAATGTATCCTGTTAAGGTTGATTCTAGGGATGGGCACGAGTACTCCGTACATGACAGCGATTATCGATCATGAAATCGATGATCGCCCTGACTTCAAAAAATATATATATTTCTCTCTTTTTCTGATTGGTTATTGCAGCATTTGGGGCGGTTCCTGAGGTCTGATTTGTTAGCGTTAGCACGCCTTCCAAACCGGCAAAATAAAGTGAAACTGGATTTGAAAACGAGCACAGCAGTGATGCCTGGAATGTCAAATGTGCAGCGCTAATCTATTATAAACATAACATTATAATGTGAACACGATTGTAATAGAATGTTGTAAATTCTCTGTGCTCTAGTCTTAAAGGAAGAGCGCGCTTGACTGAATTTTTTTATCCATCTTTGTTCAAAAGGTATAATGTCGCAAACCTAACGAGGTCGACCCAAAATTGGTTCAGAGGCTGTATCTCGGCCAAACTTTGATCAATCGAAACATAAATTGGTGTGTTTTATCAGAACCATGATCTGAGGGTCCATGCCAAATTTGGGAACAGCACCACCTAAAGGTCATGAGATCTGACTTGCTCATAACTTTTGAACAGTTTGTCAGAAAAACTTGGTGTCTATGGATTCCTTGTGTCATGCCATATCTGTGGATACCGATTTTTGCAGGATTGGATGAACCATGTGCACGTCATTTTGAAATGACATAAATTGCAATATCTTTTAAACAATTTACACATCTTCACAAAATTTGATAGGGATAATCCATAGACAGTATAAGAAGTGGACAGAGCAATCTCATTGGAACTCAGTTGAGACAGTTGAAGCCCATTTTTAGCGATTTTTGAGCACTTCCGTTCCTGACGCGCAGACTCAAACCGACTCAAACTAAGCTTGATGACGTGAGCAACCTGTCTGACAGACGTTAATCTTCTAGTAGCTGTGTGTGAAAATTGCCAACGTTAATCTTGCAGAGACGGGGAACTTGAGCAAAGAGTTCTTTGGCGTGAGTGAGCAGGAGTAAGTATTCCATTGCTTTTATGGACTCATTATCTATGGGCTTCTCCCTTGACGGGACGTCCCCCGATTGCCTGCGAGCTTCTCCTCCTGTCTGTACGGTAATTTCTGTACAACGCGACAGAGAGTCGAGTGGTTATGACGCAATCGTTAGCCTATTTTTACTAAATCTGTTTCTACGGGGCCATAATGTAACATAGAAGGTAATGGAGCCCTTTATACATTGTCGTGTTTCTTTAGAAATAAATAATGGACAAATGGAGTCTTTAAATGCCTCAGGTGTAAAGTTATTCGCTGTCAAAGTGACGCCAAAATGAATGGGAGTCAATGGAAATGCTAACGCAAGTGAAGTTCTGCTACAACATGGCGGCACCCGGCCGGCTTCAACTTCCGGTCGATGGATTACCCCCTTGGGATAATCGACAGCATGTCCTGAAGGTACCTGAGAAGTTTGAACACAGCGCCACCTAGTGTTCCAGAGATATATTTTGTTTTGCAAAAACCCTTATAACTTTTGAAAAGTGTTCAAAATTGTATTTCTTTGTGTATTATGTCAGTTACAGCACACAACATCAGACTAGCACAGCCAAGTTCATGTGCGCATTCGCGTCTTTTTGTGCAGATGTAAGTTGTAAAATTACTTTTATGTTGTCTATATCTGATTAATCTCAAATTAGATGCGTTTGATTAAGTTTAATAACCAGCTAGCAAAATGCTGCAGTTTACCGACCTTTCATTCAATCTTCAGTTCAGCTCAAATGCTGAAATAATGTCTGATATTATTGACTATGATTGGGTTATTTGAGACGGTCATATTCCTTGTAGATAGGCAAAAATCTAGATGATATTAATAATAATGCAGCAGTGTTGTTTTGTTCTCATTTTTTAACAGTAAACCTATGTATGGCAGCAGCCTATAGATGCTGAGAGGCTAAGCAGCAGGAAAGAAGCCGTGACGCGTTCCCATGCATTTAGAATCCATGAACGTTTATTGTCATGATGTATATAGTCCATAAGCTGATAGAAAACACTTGACGATCACAAACTGTAAAATGGTAAAAAAAAAAAAAAAAAAAACTTAAAAAAAAACATTCCTTTTATATGTTTCTTTTTCGATAACATTGATACATCATAATCTAGCAGCTATTTTTGTCTATTCATACGTTCATGTTTTCATAGGCATGTTTTCATGTCCTATTTTTATTTGTCAACATTCATTTTCGTAACGGTCTTAAAATATTTTCATGAAGGAAACACTCCCAATTTCTGACTGAATTTAGGCTTTTATTCACATATAAACATTGGTCAGCGAACATAAACAGAAGGTCAAACGTGCTACATAACACACAAGAAAGAACCTCATTGGTTCTCGCATGTCAAGCGAACATGCTTGTGTTTCTGTTTACCAGATCTGAAGTGCGAGTTGAATGTTTATATGTGAATAAAAGCCTAAATTAAATCTGTTTATAATATAAAACGAAAGTGTCTTTTCAGAAAAAATGGACTAAACCGCTCGATTCATATGGATTAGTTTCACAATCTCTTTATGAATATTTTGAAGCGTCAAAGTGGTAGTTGTGTAGCTGTCAATGTAGAGACAGAAAGCTCTCAGATTTCATTTAAAATATCTTCACTCGTGTTTGGAAGATGATCAAAAGCTTATGTATTTGGAACAACATGAGGGTGAGTAAATGACAATTTTCTTTTTTGGGTTAACTAACCCTTTAAACACACTTGAAATATAACGACTTTTCTGCTGAATTATTAATCTATTAATCTATTATATTTAATGGTGAATATGACATCTACCTGTGCCAACCCAGTAAACAATTACCGTCTTTCAACGTTGAAATATGGTTGAAAAAAAGTCGGTCCACCTTGGATTGGTTTACGACGTGATTTCAACTAAGTAGTTTCGGCTGGACTGTTTGACTACGTGTTTTCAACTGATAATCTAAGACAGGATAAGTCTGTTATATACAGTGCTATGCATACGTTTAGACACCGATGAACTGTATGCTAAAATAAAATTAATTAATTAATAAATTAAATTTGACGTCTTTTCAATTTTCATTTTCAACCTTCAGTGGACCATAATAAGACGTTGATTTACGATAGATTTACGTCTATTCAACGTCTAATAGATGACTTTTTGCTAGCTGGGAAGACCCTCAACGTTGTTATAGGCGGCATGTTTGGGTTTGTCTGTGAGACAGTGGAAGCGATCCATCTGAACAGACTTCACTTTTCCACTGAGCTTCAAGTTAAATGCCTCAAAGTGCCCTGGTGGGAACGGAGTGATCTTTGCAGGAGTGGACATGGAGTGCGTAATATCTGTCAAACCTGTTTGAATTAAATCAAAGTTAAAACAGAATGCTGTTAAAACAGATAGGTCTACAGATCTTTGTAAAAAATAAAATAACAATGCTGCCAATTTTCTAAAGGCAGTTGTGGCCTAATGGTTGAGAGTCAAACTTGTAACCCTAAGGTCTCAATACCTACAGGAAACAACTGAGGTGCCCTTGAGCAAGGCCCTTGCCCTTAACCCCCCAAATTTAAGAAGATCAAGAGCGTCGGATAAAGTGGCCGTGGACCTAGAGTCAAATAAAAGTAAATCTGCAAATGCATCCAGCGATGAATATCTTTATTAGTTGAACATCTGCGTATGCTGTCTGTGAAGGAGCTACATTCGATTTCAATTCATTCAGGTAATACATTTTACAACCAAACAGATTATTACGCCACGATACCACTACTACAAAGTAGGACGTTATATTTGGAAATATACCTTAATTTATACATTAAATGAATGAACCCCCACCAACTCGCAGTAATTTGTGTGTATTGCGCAGTGGCGGTGACCTGTTCGTCTTGAAAACTAATCTTTTGCTTGGACAGTTTACACAACTGCAGAAATATTCATTTGATTACATTTTGAAGAACAGATGGAAGAAGATCCATCAATGTGCATTTGATCATTGATTGAGTTCAGATGTTCAGTGGCGGTTATATGTGCGGGCACATGTTAAGAGTTTTCACTGTCTGTAGTTCCTGCTGTGTTTTGATACTGTTCAAATGACACAAATTAGAGTCGGGACAATGGTGTTCTTCTTTTGGTTTACCGTGCAATATGAATTACCAAACTCTGTGAACGCAGGTCTTTTGGACAATGAACTGGCCAACCAAAATAAACCCAGAGTTAATCTCTAGAGGGCCAAACAGTCCTTGTTCCTGAGTTTATATACAATTCAATACACTAAAGTTCCCTTTACATGCAAAACTCAGCAGGTTCACTTTATTTCGAAATTGTCTAATAATCCAAATATAGCTGTATTCATTATTATTCAAAGCAAAGGACATGCAATGATATTTGGGCTAAAGATGCCAGAAATAATGCTTGTCTCTTCTGTGTTTGTTGCAAAGACATCTAATAATGATCATAATAATCATTTAAATTCAATACCTATCTAAATATTAACATGTTGTTGTGTTGTTGATATAGGCTATGATCCGAAGTAACTAGTAAATAGATACTTGAGTAGATTTTTCATTGGATTTTTACTCTTACTCAAGTAACTATTTAAGATTATTACTTTTACATTGAGTAAATATTTCTATAAGTAGGCTACTTATACTTTTTATTAGAGTAGTTGTTGGATACTCTACCCACCTCTGCCAACAGGATATCTTTGCAAATATCCTGCATAATTATTTATTTATTTTTTTATCCTGCAGGATTCCTGTAGGTTATTTTTGTAAGGGAATAAAGAGTTTCATTCACACCTAAATAACATATGGATGCATCTTGCACTTCTCTGACATGTTTTATTAACTTTAAAATCTTAAAGTAACAACAGGTCGTTTTTTGCTCTCGGGCTCCCCCTACAGTTGGGAAACAGTATTGTCCTCTACTACTGTCGTAAACTCTGTCATCCTACATGCACGTGCAATTGTTGACAACCAGGATAGCCCTGAACACTGTAGGAGGAGGTCACATGCAGGTGTTCTGCTTGCGTCGCGTGTGAAATGTCTTCATCCCAGGTACAGTGGCATATATTTCAGCATGTCATATGAATATAATTTCATGGGTTTTATTTTTTTTCTAACGACAAATGATCGCGATGCTCACGTTTACAAGCCAGCGTCATTATAGTAGCCTAGTCTATTGGTTACCGTTTTACTGGATCTATATGATACTTCAATGCAATGTTTGAGTGGTTGATAATAACCATATATCGTCAATATTATAATATCAACCTACCATAAATGAATCTGCAAATTTTACAAATCGATTTGCATTATAGCTTGAGGCAAGACAAATAAACAAATATCACAGACATGTTAGGTATCCTAAAATATGATTTTATTAATAATCTTCCTCCTTTCTTTGTACATGTTGAGTAGACTACACTTTTTAGGTCAAACATTTGCTATTTGCATTTCATCGATTGCAAACCCTTGTGAAAAAGAAGTGTGCTTAATTGTATTGAAAGTGTACTTTTTGTGTGCTTAAACTCATAAAAGTATACTTTTTGAAAAGTGTACTTGCAGATAATATAATATAATTAAAATTAAAGACCACTTAAGTGTACTTAAAGGGAATACACTTTAATGACAATATTTATTAACTCACTTAAGTGCACTTTTACAAATGCACTTTGTAATAATATCTAATTAAGTTTAACTTAAAGTAAGTACACTTTCATCACAATATTTATAAACACACTTAAGTGCACTTTTAAAAATGCACTTTGTAATAATATGTAATTAAGTTTAACTTAAAGTAAGTACACTTTCATGACAATATTTCTAAACACACTAAAGTGTACTTTTTAAAAATGCACTTTGTAATAATGTCTAATTAAGTTTTACTTAAAGAAAGTACACTTTCATGATCATATTTCTAAACACACTTAAGTGCACTTTTTACAAATGCACTTTGTAATAATATCTAATTAAGCTTAACTTAAAGTAAGTACACTTTCATCACAATATTTCTAAACACACTTAAGTGCATGTTTTAAAAAAATCACTTTTTAATTGTGTCTAAGTTTTACTTAAACATACATGTTAAATAATTATGAATTTATAGTGTTTTAAAGTTATTAAAGTTATAAGTTATTAAATGAAATTTATTTTGATGTATTGACTAATATACTAAATAAAATAATATTTTTAATGGAAAACATGGAAAGTAATTCACTTTAATTTCAACTCAAGTGTGTTGTCCAAAAATAATTTGTTCATGTATTTTAAATGTGTTTAGTCTATAATATATACTGTGTGCATTAATGCACTTGGAATGTATTTTTCCAATAAATTTGCAATACAGTATAATCCAGGACAACCTATTGTTGACATTTTTGTCAGTTTTCTACATAATATTTGACAATAAAAATTTAATTTATGAGAGGAGTCTTAGCAGTAATGTGTTGTACTTTACATCTGTGAACAGAATACTTTCAATATCATTATGTTGTTCTAAGTCAATTAAACACATTTAATTGCAATCTACACTACATTGAACAAAAATATTGACTTTTAGATGAAAGAGTAAAGTTTTGTGAACTTACAGAGTCTAACAACACAATAGGCTATATGCACGCATAAGTTCCGCATTTGACGCAAGGATGCTCGTCAGTTTCCGGTTGGGGAGATTAAAGCGGAGGAAAACGAGGAAAACGGGATTATGGCAGAGTCTTCAAAATTTACTGTCCTCCCGTCTTTGAAACGAAACTTTCATACGTTTAGATGTAATTTTATATATAGTTATGTTTATTTAATATAATTTTAAAAAGAAGCATAAACACAACGAGGTGTGTCTGTTTTGTCAGTTTTTGTGACTAACGCTTCTTTAGTATAACCATGGAGTATACAATTCAATATAAATTCTCGGTATTGCATTGGACTCTATGATCGGCGGAAGTTATCGAGCATCCTTGACCTTCACCGGAAATACCGCCGTGCATAGAGCCCATTGAGTTAGAACAACTTCAACTTAAACAGAAAAGCTAAAATGAAAATATACTCTATACGAACATGGTGTTTAATGAGCATGCGCCAGAAATACTACGTCATGATGACGCACTACTTCACTAGAGTTTGAAAAATGCGCTGTTATGTTTCTGTAATGGCGGTGCATGAGGAAACTGAAGCTTCCCAAACAAAAGGAGCGCCACGTTTGGTTGTTTGCAGATGAGATGTTATACTGCAAATAATCAGTCAAGTAAGTATATCTTGATGCTTTCTTTATTGACATTTTTTTCACCGCAGTTGATATTGCGATTAAGAGTGCTTTTTAATCGCAGATAGTAAAGTTATACGCAACAGATTCGGGAGGTAAATTAATCATGTTTCCACTAATTTATCTATGATTGCATTCTAATAATGTCTTACATCGTAATGTGCTCGCGTGTGTGGGCGTGTTCGAGGAATTTGTCTACTGAAATGTGTTTTTTATATATATATATTTTCATTTATTTATTTTAAACCGACTTTTTTTAAATAATTTTAAACAAACTAAATGACTTAAAGTTAAATTTGCATGCTGAATGCTGATCCAATTGTAACTCTCGAAGTCATTTATATTAATTAATCTTAACCACCATACATTACATATTTAATATATCACCCACCTCTATAAATAATGCTTGTAATGTATTTAATTTCGTTTTGCATTTGAAGAGAGAGTTGTTCAGTTACTATTTGTTTTGGAATATGTAATATTTTTGTGCTTATCTGGATTAAACATTCATTTTGCAGGATCAGTTCACATTTGTTATTGGAGATACAGGGCAAGCGGTGTGGAATCACAGACCTGTATTGATGAGGTGATGTTACAAGAGTTATTATGAATTTTTGCCCAGCCAGCACACCAAGCTAAAACACTGCTATCAAGTCCCTAACTATCCCTATAGCTTTTAATGCTTTGTATCTTTTCCATTTGCAAGTTATAGATTCCCACCTGTGCATTTACATATGCCCCTATAATCATCATATATTTTATAGGTAACAAACCAAATGAAGAAGGCTGCCGCATTACTGTGTCAACCGTGGTAAATACAGGAACATCCTTCATGAAGATACGTGCGGCAAGCTTAAAATTCAAGATTACCTTTCTCAATTTGCATGGGTCTTGGGTTTGCATGGGTCATTAACCTATATGTGTGTAATTGATAAAGTTATGTTTAATTCCTTGTAAAGTAGCAAAATAAATGTTCTCTATTTTTAATAACTTTAAGCCCAGTGTCAGTGAAGATGGCATGGTAAGTGATATCCTGGTGTTTGTGGGAAATAGAGGAACCTTGCCCAGCTTTCTACTTCGGTGTGACCCTGATGAGGTA